CCAAGCTGTTTGAAAGGTTAAAGTAAAAGATCTGACTCAAACTAGCTAATATTTTTTGCCTGAGAAATAGAATCCCTACTGTTCTTCTACTCAGGCTGTTAGAGTTGGGTCTGTGGCATAAGCATCAGAAATTTAGCAACTACTGGAGCCCCAAGTTTGAAAGGTAGCCAGCATGCATGCATCATTCTTTCTTTCACAGTGCATACACCAGATGAAAATCTGGTGCTCAAGGTAAGTCGCTGTAGTTCTATTTAGCCAGAGTTCCAGTCAGTTTACACAGACTGGGATTTTCCTTGTACCTTAGAAACCAGAGTCTGGTCCATCTGCTCTGGAGGTAACATAAGAGCGTGCATTTTAGGTTTGTGAGTGGAGACGGTCAGAGTATTTGGCTTCCTGTGTCTTTGCCACAGCTCAAATCTGTAAGGCCGTTGTAATCTGCTCAGCTGCTACACAAGTGATATTTTTTGAAGTGCTGTATTAAAATACTTTAAAGGAGATGCTTGCTAAACATGCAGTATTAATATATATTCAACAGTGGACAGGTTACAACTATTACAACATGCTTATTTAGCTAAGTAAAAGGAGCATAGGGTTCCATGCTCCTTTCGTTGTCCTGCTATCTGTATCATGGTGAGAGATCGTTATACTGGGTGATGAATATGGATAGATAATCCAGAAAGTGATTTGAATTTACTAGACAGGGAAGGGACAGAGGGGAAAGAGGAGCAGTATTAGGAGAAGTAAACAGGCAATAAACCCATAGGGACAAGGGGATCACAAAAGCTAATCCAAGTAATGGGATAAAAATCTATAGTCCTTGTTTAGACCATAGTTCACACTCTCCAGTCTGTTGAAGATTGCTTGTTCCACAATTTTCTGTTCAAGTTCATTTTTAAAGCTTTCTAATTGATGCAGATTGAAGCTGGCCCTCACATCAACACAGACTACATCATCACTGGACCAAATAACAGTACTTACAAACATCCAGTGATCATTCACCTGCAACTCTAGCAACATCATGTGTGCCATCACCTTATTATAATGTCCCTACTATCTACATTGGACAGACAGAGCAATCTCTATGTGTAAAAAAACAAATACCAATCTGACATTATTTCCAGAACACAAAAGCCTGTGGCAGAACACTTTAACCTCCCTGGATATTTCACTATTGACCTCATAGTAGCTGTTCTTAGACAACAAAACTTTCAAGAATGATTTGAAAGGAAAATTGGGGAACAAAATCATCCACAGACTGTATTTCATAGATTTCATAGACATTAGGGCTGAAAGGGCCCTTGGAAGATCATTGAGTCCAGCCCCCCTGCCCAAAGGGCAGGAAGTCAGCTGGGGTCATAGGATCCCAGCAAGATAAGCATCCAATTTGCTTTTGAAGGTGTTCAACGTAGGTGCTTGAACCACCTCTGACAGCAGGCTATTCCAGACCTTGGGGGCCCGGACAGTAAAGAAATTCTTCCTTATGTCTAGCCTGAAACGGTCTTGCAGTAGTATATAACTGTTCCACCTCATCATCCCCTGGGGCACTCTGGTGAACAAACATTCCCCCAGATACCGGTGGTCACCCCCGATAAACTTATAGGCAGCCACCAGATCACCCCTGAGCCTGCGCTTTTCCAAGCTAAGGAGCCCCATGGCTCTCAGCCTGTCATCGTAAGGTCTGTTTTCCTGACCTCTGAT